TTACTCCCCTTTCTCCATAGCCAGTTTCTCTGTTCTGGACACCTTGGCAATCTCCTTCTCTCACCTGAGCTGTTCCTCATGCTGAGGAGAGAACGAGAAGGCAGAGAGAGAAGTCCTTCTCCTTGCTCCAGATACACAAAGGGCTGGTTAAGGTTCAACAGTGGTGGGAAAAGATAACCCTCCTGTGATGCACCTTTTTCACTCACACAGAGTGCCTACCACCCACCATAACCTCTCTCCCACAGGTTCAGGATTACAAGTAGGTCAGGCAGTAGGACCATAGCTGGCAGTGGGGCATTGGGGGTGACACCCCCCAGATGACCCCCAGCAGAACCCTCCCTCTCCCCACCTGACCCCCAGTTCCTGCAAGGAGATGTGCCTAAACCTGCCTGCTCAGCTCTCCTCAGCAGCAGTATGGAGGCTCGGCGGGCGGGCGCAGGCACAGTGAGGCACCAGAAGAAGAAGAAGATTGGATTTATATCCTGCCCTTCATTACCCAAAGGAGTCTCAGAGCGGCTTACAAACTCCTTTCCCTTCCCCTCCCCACAACAGACACCCTGTGAGGTGGGTGGGGCTGAGAGAGCTCTTTCCAGAACTGTCCTTGAGAGAATAGCTCTGACAGAAGTATGGCTTGCCCAAGGTCATCCAGCAGCTGCAAGTGGATGAGTGGGGAATCAAACCTTGTTCTCCCAGGTTAGAGTCCACGTACTTTAACCACTACACCAAACTGGAGTATGGCCCACCCTGGTGCCTCACTGCTTTTGTGCTAGCCAGCCCAGCTACCCCAGTGCTGCTGAGGAGAGCCAAGGTGGCAGGGCAGCAGGTGGCAAGCAGAAAGAAGCAAGCAGAAAGAAGCATCTTTCTCCTTGGCTGCCCCTGCTGCTGCTGCTGGGCCTGGCCACCTAGGGCTGCTCGGCCCTGCTCTTCCGTGTCACGCGCCTTGGCTACTGCCGCCTCTTCTTCCTCCCCAGGCTGCGTCCTCTTCCTGGTGCCATGCCGGATTAATTTTATTTATTTATTTTAATTAGTGTCCCCTGGTGCCCCCCATGAAAAAAATCCTGGCTCCAGGTCTGTCAGGCAGTCACACATCTCTACCCTTCTTGCCTCTTTTAAAATATACAGAGAGATCCAGGACCATTTTACATCTCAAGTCCTCTCTCTCACTCACAGAGACATCAGCAGACAGGGTAGCTAAGCCCCTTTAAAAATTGCCTCTCACTCAAACACTTCACAGATCTATTAGGGTTGGACTCAAACACTGTTTCATTCACACACTGCCATCATTTATTCATATCCAAAAATATATATGGACCAAGAGCTTAGCTATGTGTGTTTTCCTGAAACAACCAGCCCAAACTGTTAAACAAACAAGGAATTAACTTTGATTTATGGTTTGAAGATAACACTGAAGAAAGCCAGTTACAAAGTTTCTTTTCAGTTGAACTTTTGAACTGTTTCCCTCTTCCAGCCTTTGGGATACTCCCCCTCCTTCCCCCCTCCGCCTTGCCTCTCCCCCCCTTCTCCCCTTCTTTTTGACAGTTCTGTATTGTACCTCTGTATGAGTTTTACGCTAGCTGAAAGAATATAGTAACTGTCTTATTGATTTTATTGTATCTTACATTTTAGAAAGTTTAAATTGTATATCTATAAGTTGTTGTCACCCACTCTGAGCTGATTTTGGGGAGAGTGGGTTATAAAATAAATAAATAAATAAAATATTGTCATATGTTAAAAAACTACTTTTATTTCTTGTATTCTTACTGTGGTAAGCTTCTGTTGGGGACATGAGCAGAGAATTTGGGGGACTCAATAAGTTCTGACATGTAAACCATATTCTCACAAGTCCATTTGTAATTATATGACTCCTTTCTTATGTTGTGATTGTTAGTTGATTTCTTTATCCATAAATAATTATGTAAACTTTCATCTAGTTCTGCTGATTCAAGTTTTACTAGTCTTGGATTTTTAATCCAATCCACAATCCAGACCAGACCTGCCACTTGACAGGGCTTTTTTTGTAGAAAACGTCCAGCAGGAACTCATTAGCACAATAGGCCATACCCAACAGCAGAACATTATTAGCAAATTAGGCCACACCCGTGATAGTGCAGCTTATTAGCATATTAGGCCACACCCCATGCCTTTCCTTGGCTTCCCCGGGCAAGCCCCTCCTGGAAGGGAAGGCAGTTTAAACTGCCTTCCCTTAACTTGCCTGGGTGCCCCGTAGCTGCGGGGAGCCTGAGCAAGCCGGCCCTTGGAGAGGAGGGGAGGTAGTTTAAACTGCCTTCCCTTAACTTGCCTGGGTGCCCCGTGGCTGCGGGGAGCCTGAGCAAGCCGGCCCTTGGAGAGGAGGGGAAGCAGTTTAAACTGCCTTCCCTTGGTGCCCAGCAGCTGCGGGGAGCCTGGACGAGCCCCCCCTTGAAGGGGAGAGGAGGCAGTTTAAACTGCCTTTCCTTGGCTTGCCTGGGCTGTGGGGAGTTTAAACTGCCTTCCCTTGGCTTGCCTGGACACCCTGTGGCTGCAGGGAGCCCAGACAAGCCGGCCCTTGGACGGAAGGGAATGCATAAACTGCCTTCCCTTGGCTTGCCGGGGATGCATGGTGAGGCATTTAAATGCCTCCCCGATCCTTTCAGGGGGGGCCCCCGCCCACCTCGGAGTCGCCGGGGGGTCTCTCTCCAGGCCTTCCCTCTGTAGCCATGCATGCAGAGGCTTTGGCTATAGTGGGCGTGGCCAACTCTGAAGCCAGCCAGAATGCTATTCCTCTGCATTCCTGTTTTTTTCCTGCCCAAAAATAGCCCTGCTGCTTGATAATATAATTTTATATTTGGAACTGCTAACTTTCCTCTCTTTTTCTCATCTTGAAGTATTTTAAAACTTATTCTTGGTTTCTTGCCATTTCAAATAAATTTATTTATCTGTCTTTGCCAGTCTGTCAATATTCTTTCTTCTATATGTATAGGTAACATACGGAACAGAAAATTTAGTTTTGGCAATACATTCATTTTGATTGCGAGATTCTACCCAGCCACAAGATTTTTAATTTTTTCCATCTGGGTAAATCTGCTTGTATCAGTTTCTCAGTCTTCTGATAATTATTTTTGAAAAGACAGTTTTGTCCAGTCACATTTATCCCCAGATATTTAATAGAATTGGTTGCTACTGTGCATTCTATACTCTTTATAATAGCTTCTTCTTATTGCATTAAGAATTTCTTTATTATTTTTGTCTTCTTCCTGTTGATTTTATATCCTGAAAAGGATCCAAATTCTTCAATATGTTCCATTACGTACTGTAACAATTTATGTGGATCCAATACAGTTTAAATAATGTTAAGACCACGTTATCTGCATAACTTTTCATTTTAAATACTATGAGGAATTTCAGACAGGCGATATATTCCGGTTCAGGAACGGTTCCCAAATGGTTTCTGGTCTGACATTTCAGACAGAACCGTTTTAGAACTGGTTCCCTACCGGAATATATTTGTACTTTCACTCACAAACGCTTCTGTCCCATTCAGGAAATGGGGCTGAACCGTTTCACCTGTAAATCACTTCCAAGTAGTCTTCAGTTTCTTCTCCCAGATCCGAAACACTCTTTTCCGTTGTTTTTCGCTTGTGCAGGCGATCTCTGGCTTTCCCCCCCAGCATTCGCTTTAGAGCACTATAGTGCTATAGCGCTATAACACAACAGCAAAACAACGTTATAGCAACCTCATTGGAATGCCTGGAGTGTTGTGTTATAGCACTATAGCGCTCTAAAGCGAACATTAAAAAAAAAAGCCGGAGATCACCCGCGCGGGCGAAAAACAGCAGGAAAAAGTGGGAAAAAGCAGTGTAGTCTGAAATGGCAAACCGCTTCAGATCCAGCTGTTTACCGGTAGGGGAAAGCCATGTGTGAAATGGCAGCCCTATACCGGTTTACTCCACGACGGATCAAAAACAGCTTCAAACCGGCTTAAAAAGGGTAATATGAAATTCCTCTATGTTCCACTTTTATTCCTTTGATCCTTGTATCTTGTCTAATCTTTATAGCTAAAATCCCTAACTCTAGGATAAATAATAGAGGAAGATCTACTCTGCACTCCTTCAGGAGAGACTCCAGAAATGGCTTGATGAAGAGAGGTTCCTTTTCCCTGAACAGTGTGGCTTTCGACAGGGTGTTGCTACTACAGACCATTGTCTGACGCTTCTCCATCTTGCCAGCAAGTATTCCTTGCGTCCAAGAGGTTGTCTCTATGCGGCCTTCATGGATTTGAGGGCTGCCTTCGACTCCATCTCTCGTCGCAGATTGTGGGAGAAGTTATTGAACACCAATATTGACCGCAGACTACTGGGATTGATTATGGCTCTCTATTCTGAAACATCTGCCTCGGTTTGGGTGAATTCTTCAGGAGCCAGGACAGACTCCTTTCCAGTGCAGAAGGGAGTTAGACAGGGATGTTTGTTGGCCCCCTGCCTGTTTAACATCTATATTAATGATTTGGTGCCGTTTCTTAAAATGAGAGCCAGACATCCTCCGTATTTAGCTGGTCTTCCTATACCACTTTTACTTTATGCTGACGATGCTGTTTTGCTGGCAACATCTGAAGTTGGACTGAGGTCTATTGTTAATGCCTTTCTGGACTACTGCAAACAAGAAGAGCTTATCGTGAATTATGCAAAGTCCAAGGTTCTTCGCTTCTCTGCCAAGAGAAGAAGAGGTCCTCTGTATTTTAAAGTTGGGGATGGTCAACTAGAATGGGTTTCCTCTTTCCGATACCTAGGTATTGTTTTTAGTTACAATCTATCCTGGTCCGCTCACCTGACGTACATTAAGAAGTCATCCAGACTCACCACAGCACTGGTTGAGAGATTCTTCCGTACAAAGGGGGCTAAGCGGATTCCCCCGGCCATCGAGGTGTACAATGCGAAGGTGGTCTCCCAAATTTTATACGGTGTAGAAATCTGGATTGCTGGCGTGGATGAGAAATTGGATTCCCAGCTAAACTCCTTCCTTAGGAGAATTACTGGAACGCCACGGTGTGTTGCTGGGACTGTCCTTCGTATGGAACTGGTTCAATCTTCGCTTGAAGCACGTGCTTGGAAGAGGGCATTCAAGTTGAGATTTAAGTTATCTGACCCAAGTCATCACCCCCAGGCCGGCTTTCTTCATTCCATCTTAAAGGACACGACATCCAACCCTTGGTTGTCCCTTCTTGCTGGTAAACTCAGGACATTGGGAGTGCCGATGTCCTCACCTAACGAAGAGCTGATGCCCTCTCAGCTTGAGGAAACCTTGAAGAAACTTAAACAGTTGGATTGGGCCAGCACCGTGGCCAGGGCAAGACGCACCTGCTCTCCGTTGGCTTTGGGGTTGTCCCCTCCAGAGAGATTTCCTGACTTTTATTCAACGTTATCAATTCCATCTCACCGCCGCGCCTTTATGCTGGCCCGCTTAAATGTATTTCCAACAATGGTAACTCTGGGAAGATTTGGAGGCCTTCCTTACTCAGATCGCCTTTGTCTGTGCAATTCTGTGCGAAATTGAAACCTTAGATCATCTGATGTTTCGCTGTCCCCACTGGACTCAAGTTAGAGGCACTTATATCTTTCCTATTCTTACGAAGATGAATCTTCCCGCGCAACCTTGGGTGCTTTCAGTACTGTTATCTGACTCTAATGCCGACGGACTGATAACAGCTAACGTGGCACGGTTCCTGGCTAAGGTGGCTGCTCTCAAGAAACATTGAAAATTTCAGCACTTCTGAAAACTCCGACACCGACTTTTAGTCTTTGGATGATTTTAGTCAGTTGGCTCCGCCCAAAGTGTAGTTAGGTAATTTTTAATCTCTGGGCTCAGCCTGGGTTTTATGTGACTGTGATTATGTACCTTGACACATGTTATGTCTATTTTATGTACCTATTTTATTCCCCTTTTGTATCCTCTTGGTCAAGACTTCGGTCATATAGACCTGTAATAAATTGAATTGAATTGAATAATAGAGGTGACAAAGGGCAGTGATGGTAGTAATGCTGATATCAGTCTCTTCCCCAGATCCATTCTTTACTTAAGATTACTCTCTCATGCTTTCTTATTCCCACATCATCATTGTGTTGACTTTTAAACAAGCCTCATATGAAATTTGTTATTGCAGTATGAAGATTAAAGGTGTTTATCTAGGAAGATTTGCGGGTTTTCCGCCCTCTGGTGATAACTATCTGTGTTATATGGACTTCAGTTAGGTGCACCCATAAATTGGAACAAAACAGATTATTTTATTTTTATTATTTTATTAGATTCATTTAACAAAACTTAGTACGTTCTCTCAAAGTTTCCTGGAAAGGAAAGATAAAGTTGTCTTCAAAAAACTGGCTTTAATAAAAATGTATACAGTTAAAGATTTGTGATATAGCTGAGCAAAAGAAATAATTATCTCCGTTTTGCCATTATCTTCTGGAGTCCTTTTGTGTATTTATCTTGCACATCCAAGGTCACACAAAAAGCATAATGAAGTCCAGGAATATTAACTAATCTGTTCTGAAGGGAGTATTTCTAGTCAGCTGTGGGGTAAGGCAGAAAGTGCATGAGATCATTAAAAATGATGCAAGGTTGAAATGTTTGAAAGGAAATATGTGAATGTGTGCATGTTTACTCAGAAATAAGTATGCATTCAGTGGACACACTCCCAAATGAAGTGTATGAGCTGAGGTCACAAGAAATCATGTAAGTGGATTCTCCATTCCACATTTTTCCCTCCAGGATTGTTTAGACCTGCTTGGGCAGGCAGCCTGAGCTACATATGCAGCATAATGAAATGATAGAATGGGCTGTACCACTTCAGGGCAGGTGAGGGCATCACATGCTTAATGGTTCACCATGTACAAACTTCCAACAAATTAGAAATTTACACATCTGATAGAAACCAATGCTGGGCTTGCATCCATTTACAGGGAATTATAATTCAGATGAACTTTGGAAAATGTAATTCTTCAGCTGCAGTCTGTAGTGATACAATCTATTCTGCCTCTACAGCTTTCTGCCAGTTCTTTACCACCTTGTTTTGTTTCATGTGTAGACCAGGCCGCATGTTCAACACTTCTGTATAGGGTTGCCACGTCCCATTGTCATCACGGAGGTGGGATGGGGGTGGGCGTTTCAGGGGTGGGCGGGATGTTGCACATGATGTCCCTGATGCAATGACATCACCTGGAAGCAATGTTCCCTCTAAGCTGTGGCGTCTTGTGAGCAAAAATTCCACTTTGTGAGCGACTGGCATTAAAGTTGTGAGCGAGTGATTTGGCTGCTGCATAAATTAGTTTGCTCTGGAGCCTTCCTTCCTGAGCTAAGACAAAAATCTGTGAGCAGGAGGCTAAAAAACTGTGAGCTAGCTCACACTAACTCAGCTTAGAGGGAACACTGCCTGGAAGTGACATCATCGTGTTGGTTATATCACACATGACACTCTGGTTTGGGGGCAAACCTGCTTCAAAACCATAGAATTTGCCCCAAAACAAGAGCGTCGCTGTGTGATGTGCCCAGCATGATGATGTCACTCAGAAGTTGGGGGGACGCGTTGGGGACGTTGTACAGTGATATCCCTGTTTGGGGGTGGTTTTTCCCCTGCCAACCAGTTGGCTGGTGGCAGATCAAAGCCCCCAAAAGCGGGGGAGCTCCTGCTGGGACCTGGGGGCTGGCAACCCTACTTCTGTAGTCCATCTTTTCTGAGCCATGGCTTGGATCCAGAATAAAGTTTCTGCATGCACTAAGATTTCTGTCCACAGAGTGTGATTTTCCCACCTCATCCTTCCTGTGGTAGCCCAGAATGCTCCGTGACATCCTGTTCTTGGGGGGAAGGGCTGCAACAGTAGGGGGGAGGCCAGAAAATTGTGCCCCATGGGTGGAAATCCTTGTTCCTGTGGCAACATTAGTCTGGCTCCAAGACCATGTGTAGTCCTCATCAGGCTGTTTGGAGGTTGGGAGCTGCTAATTTTTCTTTTTGGTTAATTTGCTTTTTTTTCTTCAAGGGAGTCTGCAGAAGCCTTACCTTGTCTTTTTCTTCATGGGAGTATGCAGAAGCCCTTAACTTGCCTAAGGATGGCCTGGTTTCTCTGCTTTTGTGATCAGTGGAGAGGCCAGCTGATTCAATGTTAATTATAGCAGTAGGACTGCAGCCTCAGCTTTTTAGGAAGTTATGTTGTGATTCTCTAACTTCGATTTCTTTCTTGGTGGTGTAAAAATGGTGTATACCTAAGATGCACTGAATCCCAGTTTTTAAAACTTCAAGATGAGATTTGTAGCTTTTCTGTTCAGCTGGCTTGCAAGGATACTTTTTTGTTCTTTGAAAGACTTTGGGCAGTGCTATTTCTTGCAGTTGTCTTTATTAATATGCATTATATTTTTTGTATGCTATGTAACAAAAGAAGGCAATTGCACTGAAAATTTTCTGGTAACCGCCATGTGCCTTTGGATTTTGATAGCATTCACTGCTGCTAATGAAATGTTCTGTAAGTTGTCCAGAGCTGTAACAAAATCAGCTATAAAACCAAATAGCTTGCGGTAAACTTATTCTCCAGTTGCTGCCACTGTTAGTTGATTATTTTTTTGTCTGCATGTTGGGGCCTTGGACTTCCACAAGTTAAATATTACTTATGTGAGGATCTTTTTATAAGTATGCTGAGCTTCTGGCTGAGGTCAAATGCAGGGCAGCCAGTCATTTTATGCTGTCTAGCCTTGTCAAATTGTCTTGCATGACTGTAATACTGCTCTGGTTGCATAAGTAAGAAAGTTGAAAAGATATAAATACCAAGATAGCCATGTTCCCACAGAAGACTGGTTTAGAACTGGGGCTTGTATTAAAATTCATATTACTCACTGGCCTAATTAAACCAGACAAAACCTTCATACTTGCTAAATGTATAAACAAAGTCTGTAACTGAACTGTAGCAATGTAGCCTTGATAACAGCTATATGTGTTCAGTGTTTTCATCTAGACGGTGTTGGTGCTAGTGGGAGACTTTTTATAAATGACCATTAATGATAAAGTCCATTGAGTGTAATAGCCAAGACTGAGTTATTTACATTATTAAACAATACAGTGTTCATGTCTCATCAGCATAACCAACAGCTTTCACACACCTTCCTGAACTGAATAAATCTTACATGAGCATTAATTGATATTTGTGGTGTTGTTCTGCAAACATTCTGTGTTTTCTTTTTCTTTTCCAGTTAATTTTTTTATTTCTAACAAAAGTGGGATACAAAAGGGGAAAAGGGTAAGGGAAAGTGTAAAGACATCAAAAGTTATCAAATATCATGAATAGTTGTGTACCGCAAGTAAAATCAACTGCGTTAATAAAAATACATTGTTCAAATATAGAAGCAGCAAATAAAACATCATTATTGCATTCTATTTTTCTTTGTGTTATTCTGGTGCTTTCATTTTATTATTGCTATGCTTTATTGATGTAAATTGAACTAATTTTTGAAATATTCCCTGTTATGTTTAATTTAGGTGAAAGACCAGAAGATAAATTGAAATTTAAGTGGCAAAAAGTGCTGGGACCTGACTTTGGAGTTATGGTACGTTGGCCACATATTTGTAGTGCATACTGTTCTTTCAAATCATGAATGTTACATTGCACATAATTTCAAGAACACCTTATTGTTCTTTAAAACAATGAATATATATATATTAATATAAATATATAAGGAATACACTAGCTCTATCCACATTTTAATCAATGAATACAATGGGAAGAGCAAGATTTTAGCACTGCCCTTCAGATGACTATATAGAGCTGTAGATTCAGGTGGGTAGCCATGTTGGTCTGAAGCAACGGGACAAAGTTTGAGTCCAGTGGCACCTTTAAGGCCAACAAAGTTTAATTCTGGGTATAAGTGAGAACTGAGTGACTTAGCATGTCTCACTTAGCATTATCTCACTATATATGCTAAGTCACTCAATTCTCACTTATACCTAGAATAAAACTTAGTTTTAAAGGTGCCACTGGACTCAAACTTTGTTAACTCTTTTATTATCTGTATGCTATTTGCTGCTATTCACAAACCTTACCAATTGTATTATTCCAATCTTAACTGCATCTTGACTCTTAAGTAGCCCTTCCTGGCAACTAACCCCCCTCCTAGATGTAATGCTTAAGGAAATCTGTTCTAGTGTATCAGAGGAAGTGTGCATCTGCGCAAGCGAAGTCTCTCCATTCTCACTTATACCCAGAATTGAACTTTGTTGGTCTTGGAGGGTGTGACTGGACTCAAACTTAGTTCTCACATCTGTTTTTTAACTCTTGTTTTTGTATGCTAATTTAATCTTTAATCCAATGTCTTTAATCCAATATCAGCTGTACTTATCACCCAGTTACTTACACATCTTGACTCTAACTAGCCCTTCCTGACAACTAACCCCCCCCCTGCCATCTCTCTACCTATATGTAAGGCTCGAGGAGAACAGTTTCAATTTATCTGATGATGTGTGCATGCACACAAAAGTTTTTACCCAGAATTAAATTTTGTTGGTCTTTAAAGTGTCACTAGACTCAAACTTTGTTACATAGAACTGTATTTATGTTAGGTCCAGTTTGTACAGGAGGGCACCTTTATAATGGAATAGGATTATAATCCACTGCAATGACTATTGTAGGCAGGGCTATTTTGGGGCAGGAACACACAGGAACGGAGTTCCAGCTGGCTCCCAAGTTGGCCACGCCCAGCAGGAACTCATTAGCATAATAAGCCACACTCAACAGCAGAAACTCATTAGCATTGGCTGCAATTAGGGGTGTATGGCCTAACATGCAAAAAGCCCTGGGTTTTGACAACAAACAAGGTAAAGAGAATAAGAAGCAAAAGGTAGGTGTGGCTGGATGACCACACTTCTGGTAACATGGGGGTGTGGCCTAATATGCGAATGAGCTGTGCTGTCAGGGTGTGGCCTGATATGCTAATGAGTTCCTGCTGTTGGGTATGGCCTATTATGCTAATGAGTTCCTGCTGGGCTTTTTCTACAAAAAAAGCCCTGATCGTAGGTGTTATCTGCTTTTACTGCATTGTAATCTACCTTCTGTATTGTTCTGTAGTTTACTTTGCCTTGGTTTATTGTATTATCTAATTCTGTAATTCTATTCCTATTGTATTTTTTGTCTGATTGCACTGCTTCATGCTGTAATCCTTGATTCTCAGTGAGAAAGGTGGACTATAAAGTAAATAAATTAACATATTAAAAAAACCTACTTATGACTTGCAAATATAATGTGTTGGTCTAAACAGGAAATGTAGCCATAGTTGGTGAATTGTTGTTGGCATTACCTTAAGGAAGCAGGTTGGGTAAACGATTATGTCATCATTGATACACTTTCAAAATATTTGTATTTAAAACCCATTACACCATTACAGAGTGCCAACAAAGGAGTAAAGAAGAAGAGAAAACAACTGGAACAATGCACACCTTAGCAAATTGCAGTCCAAATCACCACACTGATAATTGATGAGGGGTGTTTTCCATGCTAATTTAAATTTTATCATTGAAATAGTTCATTTGGACCCACTCTTGCATTGAATCCCTAGGAGTCTGAACCTATGAATTTCCTTTAGTGCAAGCATTTTTCTTCTGACGGACAAAGCACATTCTGTTGCAGGAACTCAAATTGATAGATGTTCTAGGTGTGCTATATTACTGTAGCTCCATTCAACATTATTCCAGCAATATCAAAATGTGTTTTTAGGGGATAGCAAGATTCATGCCATTAACTCCCACACCAAAAAGAGTACCGTTAAAGTTTATCAGTGTTAAATCTGTTGAACATGTAGCACTTACTTTAGTTTATTGTAATGTCTCTTTTATGAGTACCCATGGGTGTCTTCCTGTTTGATGTTCAGGTTTCCACTGTGGACATGCCTATTGCAGATGATACTGAGCTACAGAAGTATTCAAAGGTATAAAATCTTATTTCTTTTTCCTTTTTTGTCACATATTACCAATGTTACTGGATATGGGTGTGAACTAACCAACTTGAATGTGAATATTTCTGTAATTTTGATGTAGTGTCAGTTTTTTGGTTATTCTTGATCCTTCAAAGATTTTTTTTTCAAATAAGAAGTAATGACAAACTAGGAATGAACTCTTCCAACAACTGACTCTGTTGTCCTTAATTTCCCCAAATATAGTTGATGCTGAACTAAAAAAAAAATCAATTATGCTGCTGCTTCCCTTCTTTAAAAGCTTTGTGATTATGATTTGGCGTATTCATTCTTCGGGCAGGAGGTGGTTTTATTTTGAACAATCCTTCAGCTTTATTACACATTGGAAGCCTGCACAGACTCAGATCTTATGTTATAATTCTATAGTTGCATGCAGTAAGTATATTTTGAAAGGGGAAAGTCCAATGTACACTCTTTTTGCTACATGTACTTCCATTTGCTGTGGGAACCTACCTGTCCACTACAGTCATCTTCAGAGGTCCTTCTATGAGTTCCCCCCCCATCTGAGTCTAGACAGTGTCAACCTGAGAAACAGCATTCTCAGTTATGGTGCCAAAACTTTGGAACTCCCTTCCCAGGGAAGTTCTATTGTTTTTTTACCAGTGGGTGAAGACTGCTTTTTTTTGTTCAGTGTACCCCATTAACTAGCATTCTCAGTTATGGTGCCAAAACTTTGGAACTCCCTTCCCAGGGAGATTTGTCTGTCTCCTCTATTGTTTTTTTACCAGTGGGTGAAGACTGCTTTTTTTTGTTCAGTGTACCCCATTAACTATTATTTGCCCTGTTCCCTGGTTGTGGTGTTATGCATGTTTGTTTGTTTATATGGTTTATTAAATTGTTTAAATATTTTATATACACTTTATTTTAAGTGCTGTTTTAATGTCTTAAAATAATGTTTTAATGTTGAAATGTTTTAATGCTTTGTTTGCAGCCTTGTGAACCCAAGTTGGGTGAAAAAGCAACATAGAAATGTTTTAAATAAATAAATATACATCTTTGTAGCCCAATGAATGATCCTTGCGTTCTTAGCACACATTTATGTGTACAACACTAAACCAGCTGACCATAACAAAGCTATAGACACTTGTAGAGATCTTCTCTTATGTGTTTAGCTAAGTTCTGTGGCCTTCATTTTGAGATGTAAGTAAACTTGAAATCCTCTGGCTTTCCTGCCATGATGAAACTAAGAGTTAGTTTTCCTTTGATTGAATGGCATATCCCTTTAACCCTTGGACTATGAGTCTGGAAATGTTGCAAAGGTAACTTAATCCTGAGTGTTGACTTCATATACCACCACCACCATCAAGTCCTTTCTGATTTTTTGAACATTTACCAGCAAGACATCTTGAGATTTTTTCTGGTGGTTTTGTGCTGTATCATATTTAAAGTAATCTTGTATTTAAGCTTCTATCATAGGTATAAAGAGTACTATGATCAAGTATAAATTACTGTAATATATTCCCCATGAAGCTGCCTCTGAAAACCTCTCAGAAACTTCAAGTATTCCAAAATCCTGCAACAAGGCTGTTGAGAAGGAAATACATTAGCAAACATGTTAATGCCTGTACTTCAAGAATGTCCAATTTGTTCAGGGAATAAATTCAGAGTATTAGTTTTCATCTATAAGGCCCAAATTGTCATATTGCAGGATATCTGAAAGACTGTCTTCTGTAATATTAACATGTGTGCATTAAAGATTTCTCTCCTGGACCCCTTTCTGGGTACCCCACCATCTGATGTCAATTAGATACTGAGTGGGTATGGGGCCTCTTTGGTTGGGGTGTAGTACCTATAGAAAATTTTTCCTTTGATGTTCAGCATATGTGATCATTGCTGCTGTTAGGTATCAAGCAAAGATAGGGTTCCCAAGTACTTACCGTGATCCGGCGGGGGAAACATGTTCCCCAGCTGGACCATTCCTCCCTGTAACGCACCATGCCATCACCAGGAAGGGATGCCTGGTGTCACTTCCTGGCGACGGCATAGTGCGGTGCGTCTGTTGTCCCCACAGGAATGATCCTGCGAGGACGTCTGTGTCCCCCGCCGAATCACGGTAAGTACTTGGGAAGCCTGAGCAAAGAATTTTGGTAGACAGTTTTGGTCTAGCCTGCTATTTAGGTGTCTTTTAATCCTCAGTTTTGATCCATTGAAGTTTTGGCTGTATGATGACTTGATGTATTTTTAATTTTAGTTTTATACTGCTTAGTTGATATATATTGAATTTTGATCCAGTCCAGTTTCCGCCCTGGCCATGGGACGGAGACAGCACTGGTCGCCCTCACGTATGACCTCTGGAGACACCTGGATTGGAGTGGGTTGGCACAGCTTTTGCTTCTAGATCTGATGGCAGTGTTTGGCATTGTGGATTATGATCTTATGACTCACTACCTCACCAACATAGGGGTTCAGGGGATTGCCTTGCAATGGTTTTCCTCCTCCCTCTGTGGTCCAGGACAGAGGCTGGCACTTGGTAAGAGGGTCTCCCTGTGATACCCACTTGAAAGTGGAGTATCTCAGGGGGTGATCCTCTTACCAGTGTTGTTTAATGTCTGTATGCGCCCCCTTACCCAGCTGGTCCAGAGGTTTGGGCTGGGATGCTATCAGTATGCTGATGACACCCAACTCTATCTGTTGTTGGACAGTTGCCTGAGCTCTGCCCCAGAGACCCTGGACAAGGTATTGGGGTGAATTACTAAGTGGCTATAGTAGAGTCCGTTGAAATTAAATCCAGTGAAAATGGAGGTCTTGTACCTGAGCCGGGGGGTGGGGTGGGAATCACAATCCCTGCCTTGGACGGTGCACCACTTGTGCTAGTCCAAAAGGTGAGGAGTTTAGGGGTGATCCTGGATGCTTCACTTTCTGTGGTTGCCAAGTCTGCCTTTCATCATCTTCAGCAGATTAGGTAACTGGTTCCCTTCCCCTCCCCCCAGGACTTGGCTATGGTGCAGTGGTCACTTCCAGGCTTGATTACTGTAACTCACTTTATGTGGGCTTGCCCTTGAGGATGATCTGGAAACTCCAGCTAGTGCAAAATGCGGTGGCACACCTGCTGACAACATCACCTTTGCAGGCACACATGCAGCTGGTGCTAAGTCAATTGCACTGGCTCCCGATTGAGTACCGAATCCACTTCAGGTTGTTGGTACTGACATTTAAAGCCCCGTGTGACCAGAGACCAACATATTTGAGGGACTGCCTTTCCCCATGTGTGCCTTGGAGAGCTTTGCGCTCAGCAGACCAGCATCTGCTCGTTGTCACTGGCCCAACGGATGTCCACTTAGCCTTGACTGGGGCCAGGGCCTTTTTGGCCCTCGCCTGACCTGACCTGATGGGACATGCTCCTGCCTGAGATCAGGGCCCTATAGGACCTATTACAGTTCCACAGGGCCTGTAAAACAGCCGTCCCGCCAGGCTTTGGGGTGAGGCAGTGGGCATCCATTTATTCCATCTATTGGCCTCCCTTGCTGAAGCTTTTCATCTGATACAGCCCGAGTAGATTTATGGCCCAGCTGCTCCAGTTCTGAGAACATTGTATTTGTAAATTACAGTGCCATCTGTTCTCAACCCATATTCTTTGTTTTAACTGTTTTAATTGTTTATATCTTCTATTGTTTTGTTATTTCGAATTGCTGTTGTAATCCGCCCTGAGCCCAGTTGTGGGGAGGGTGGAATATAAATTTGAATGAATGAATAAACAAACAAACAAAAATTTGCCTCTTCATACAAATAGTTATTTAGTAAGGCAAGTATATTCTGAGGGCTATGCAGTAAGTGTAGCTTTTTCATTTTTTAAGTATCTGAGCAGCAGTTAACCCCTGTTGTATTGCAGACCACTCCTGTGACATAGTACTGTGTTGCCGACTTTTCCAAATAAAAATGTTTAACCACTGCGGCACTATAAAAAAACTAGAGATAGTAGTCTTGTTGACTCAATTTGAATAAGTAGTTTCAAGGTAAGCATTAGTCAAGACTTAAAACTTAGCATTTGAATATTTAATATTTATTATTTTTATTAAAACATAGCTGCTGCCTATTCACACATTGAGGCTAGGGGTTGAACTCGATACATATGAAGGACATCATTACATATCATCAATTGCCACTGATGGCCCAATTGCTAAGCTTGGTGTACTGCAGCTGGAAGATGAACTTTTAGAGGTATGGTATCCAGATGATAGGTTGGTCTTTCTTTTGTAGCATTTTAATGTTTTATTACTGCCTGTATTTTGAGATGCATTAGAATACCTTTAGTCTTATTTAATACAATTGTGGTTGGGGATAGCTAAAAAGGTTGGACTGGTGAAAACAGCGGTGCTCCACATTGACAGTGTTATGTAACTGGAGCTACTATAGCAGATGTAATCAGTGTTATTCTATGATTTATCATTTTTTCATAAATGCATGCTGCTCACAACAAAATCATTTTTCTTTTGAGCTGTTAAGTATAGGAAGAGTTGGGTGTAAAGGATTAAAAGACTATCAAAAGACAAATGTAGTATTGAAGTAATAGATCCTTACTGGAGTCTAATTGTTACTGTTGTTATTTAAGCTTGAACTCTTTTTTGTTCATTATTTATCCCAGTTTACAGCTATTTCCAGAACTAGTAAGCTGTTGCTTTTATTCAGTCCACCTCACCATGCCTTCTTATATAAAAAAAACCCAACACCAAAAAACCCACTGAATGCCTAGAGCATTTTTGTATAATACCAAGTTATACATCCTGCTTTGCACTGCAAAAATGTAATAAATGCACACAAAAAACAGCACCACCAAACAATAGATCTAACTGCAAGAGAGAGCTGGGGTTAACAGAGAATGGATCTTATGACATTGTTCTCCTCATGTTTCTTCCAGATGCTGCAGAAGCTTTCCTCCACTGCAGTGCTTGCTTTCTGTGCTGCTAGCACTTCTGTGTGCGTAAAGGTTCCTTGGAAAGCATTGATTTTGTGCATGCAGAATTGCTCTGAGCAAAAGAAACAAGCACCACAGTGGAGGAAAAAATCCACAGCAGCCGGAGAGAAGCACAAGGGGAATGGTGTCATAGGATCCAAGCCCATGTTTTGAAGTAAATAACAAGATAAAACATTGAATAATGTTCTAAAATGATCATCACTGTGTAAACATATCATGTTTTGAAGTAAATAACAAGATAAAACGAATAATGTTCTAAAATGAACATCACTGTGTAAACATAATAGCCAATTTTGTTGTGCTGCTTCTCCTTGTTACTCTCTGTCTCTTGACCACCATATGACTTGCAAACTGGTAACTCATATGAAGCAAGGAAATATATGTGCATTAACCATGGAAAATGAAAATGATGCACAATAATAGACATATTAGAAAAAATGCATGTAATTGGTGCCATCATACTGAGGAAAGATATAATTCTGAAGGGCAGTGTATGGGTTTGACCTGGTCCAAGAAGATGGGGTGTCAAATTCCTTTTCACCCATAGCTTTGGTAAAGCCATTGTAACAAAATACTAGTGGGCAAGATGGTTGTAAATTAGGCTGGTTTGCGATGATGGCTTCCTTGAAGTTGCCTTTGTAGGAAGGATTAATACAAATGTGATATTACTGTTTCAGTTTGTATTTTGACTTTCAGTTAGGATTATGTGTATGAGAGAACGCATTATATTTGGTCCTGTTTCAGGGCTAATAGGACCAAATATAATACTTTCTCTCATACACATAATCCTAACTGAAAGTCAAAATACCGACTGAAACACTAATATTTTATCACATTTGTATTCAATCCTTCATACGCAGACCACTCTGCATTTTTCTTTAATGGGAAACCATTTTTTTTTAAAAAAATTGGATACTTAATTTGATAATGTTCTACTTTTTATTAGGAGGAACCATATTGACACAAATATCATTTTGATGACAAATATAAAGATAAAATAGTGAAAAGGGAAAGCCCTTCTTATTTTGACTTTTAAATCCGTTCTCTATCTTCTTGAAACCTGTAATACCATAAAGAGTATGGCCCTCATATGGTTTTAATTGTGAGCAATGAATCACATTATAGGTGGTGGTCCCATCAAGAAATGGGACCCAGATGAACATTTCTAGGGTGGCTCACATCTGCTTTCACACAGAAGGCTGCTTCCTCATGCAGATCTCCATTGTTGGATTGGGGCCAGACTGTGTTTGGCTAGCTCAATCTTGACAGCTCTTGGAAGTTATTAACCAGCCCTGGTTAATAATTGGATGGGAGAACACCGAGGAAATCCAGGGTTGCTACACAGAGGCAGGCAATGGCAAACCACCTCTGTTCCTCCCTTGCCTTGAAAATCTTATGGGGTTGCTATAACTCAGCTGTTACTTGACTGCACCTTCCACCACTACTCCCACTGTAAAAAAAAAAAATTAGTCTTTTCCCAGGTGGCCATGGTCCATTTGCTAGGAAACCACAGTGCATGTATTTAATACTATTTGTATACAAGTTTGTACTGGATTAAATGCATGGTACTAAGTGTGTTGTGACTAGGACACTAGGATATAATAACTATAATTTCAAGTTATGGTCAGTTTGTTAAACCATGTTCATGTCCCTCCACATACACACCATGTTTTCAACATAGCTCATGAAAACTGGGAAAATACAAGTAGTCACAATGAAGGAAGAGCAATAATTCTAATATCATGCACTGGGTGTAAAGGTTGGGGGTTTTATTTTGTTTTTTGCCATTAAGTGACAGCTAACTTATGGGGACCTCGTGGGGTTTTCAAGGCAAGAGATGTTGGGAGGTGGTTTGCCATTGCCTGACTCAACATTATGACCAGAAATGCAAAAAAATAAAAATAAAATTGACAGCAGCAAATATAGGAGCTGAGCAATGGCTACAGGTTGCTGTGCTACTTTTAACGAAGTAACCAGAATTCTGAAATCAGGGCTCCAGATATCTTTTAAGACTAATATTGTACAGAATAAAAAAAGTTTGTGGCATATAGTCTGTCTTATCATTGTAGTAACCCAAGCAAGCAGGAAGATGTTTTTGTGGCAGAACCATATATCTTTTAAGTATTTCACTGCCCATGAATGCTGCCCTTTCTCTGCACAGGTAAATGGTGTTCAGCTATATGGAAAATCCCGCCGTGAAGCAGTTTCATTTCTTAGGGAAGTGCCACCTCCATTTACTTTGGTTTGTTGTCGACGCCTGTTTGATGATGGTACAGAGTCCTTTGTGGATGAGCCCGCAGCCATTACTACTTGCTCACCAAAATCTAAGGTAACATCATCAAAAATACTAAACATTTGATATTTCAGGAACAGGAGAGTAATATGACAACCCTCACAAAATTATAACCAGGATCTAAAGTACACCCTTTGCAAGGATTTTTCAAACTTTTGGGCAGCTGACCCTCCTCCAGAGTCAGGGAACCCCCCATAGAAGCACTTCTTATGTGAAGGTGTTGGTACTGGAAGGGAAAGCCAGCAATCTGTGCTTGTGCAGAATAATTTTTGCACATGTGCAGAATTTTTAAATTAGTTTGTGTGTTGGGACAGAATTGACAACCTTTGTTTTGAAAGTGAGAAATGTTCACTTTAAAGCTGGGCTAACGTTGAAATTTTGGCTCCTTTATGTTGGATTTTATGAAGCGCACTCTATTTTGGACTTTAGTACAAACAGTACTTTAGAAAATGCATCCTCTCTGAGAGATATTTTATGTTTGTGACTTCACTACTTTTACTGTAATTGGAAATTCCTAGCTTATCTAGGCAGGTAGTTAGAAACATCATTGTACTAATGATACAAGGTATGTAAATCAATGGGCCGACATGCTGATGGTGTGCATCCCATTCATCATTCTTCAGTTTAATAAGGGAGCAAGCGCTTTGAATTATACCCAGTCTCAGCTTCCCCATTAGCTGATTGCTTCCATCTTGTGAACAAAGGATTTGATGTAAACTGGAAGATTATAGGTTTAGCTATTAAAATTTCTAAAGGTCTCAGATCTTGGCCTTTAGTGTTTCCATAATAAAGTAAATATTTGCTCCTGGGATTCCTTGTTTCATGATGAGGTATCCTCTTGATAGATTGCCTTTCTGCTTAGGGCACTATAACACAAGCAAAATTCACACTAATTGAAGCTGGGGTGCAAAGATATGTGAATGGTCACATAGATTTTTTAAAATAGTTTATACTGATGATGAAATGTACACATTTCTCTGTCTCATAATATCGAATGTTATCTCTGAATGCATAGTTTAAGGAATGTTGCCAGTTGCTCCCCTCCTTACTCTTAAAACTTATTGAAAATGTAGGTCTTGCCCCAAAACTATGTCCCCGTGTTCTTATATTATCTCCAGAAGGAAAATAAAAGAATTGAGTCCTCACAATAAATCACAAAAGAAGTAACAGAATGCAAATATGTTTATATTAAGGAAAAATGATAATGCAAAGGGCAACATCAGGTTGTTACATGGGGGATCATTGATCCTAGCCTCATGCAGTTTCACTGGCTGTGATCACACACACTAAAAAATCCCCTTTCAATCAACTTTCAGTGCACTTTCCAACTGGATTTTGCCAGTTCACACAGTAAAGTCCAGTTGGAAAGTGCACTGAAAGTGGCTTGAAAGTGGATTATTTAGTGTGTGTGACTACAGCCATTGTGTGAAATTATGGTACAATTTGGGGACTGGTTGGTTAGGGGTCCGCAACCTTTTCCAGTCTGCAAACACCTTTGGAATTCTGACACAGGGTGGTTGGCATAACCACAAAATGGCTGCCATGGGAGGCAGAGCCAACCATAAAATGGCTGCCAGAGGAGATGGAGCCAACCACAAAAAGTCAGGGAGTGAGATTATGCACAACTCCAATACCAGATCTTCAGCATTTCAGGCAGAAGCTCTGTTTAACAGGATGCCTTTTAAAATTAACATACTGTTTTAAAATATGTTTCTTGCATACACACAAAAGAAGTATACATATTGAGCTACCTAAGAAACCCTCATCTGGCTGTATCTGTCTTCGTTTTGCACGCCTCTAACACACTCATGCAAAAGGAAAGGGGGGGGAATGCTTCTCCTGGCTGTCCCTTTATATGATCCCTTCTCTTATGAGTCCAGCCATTTTTAACCTGCACTGTTTGTTGTAACAATAGCAGTTGGTGGTGAAGTGCTCCTTGCACATATGCAAAGTACGAGAGAAATTCTGGCCAGATTTTGATGAGGAACATAAATTATTTTTGAAAAGCAAACACAATTTTAAAAATACGTTAAAACTAGGAGAATCTGATTACTTCAATAGATGCTTGTCAGGTTACACAGCCAACAACTGAGTACACGCTTATCAGAAAGGTTATACTTTATTGCGGAGCTATAGATGCATTAACAAAGTCACTGTTAAGAATGGCGTTGCCCCTAGTTGGTGGTGAAGTGCTCCTTGCACATATGCAAAGTACGAGAGAAATTCTGGCCAGATTTTGATGAGGAACATAAATTATTTTTGAAAAGCAAACACAATTTTAAAAATACGTTAAAACTAGGAGAATCTGATTACTTCAATAGATGCTTGTCAGGTTACACAGCCAACAACTGAGTACACGCTTATCAGAAAGGTTATACTTTATTGCGGAGCTATAGATGCATTAACAAAGTCACTGTTAAGAATGGCGTTGCCCCTACACGCATAATGGGGTATAGGGTATTCGTATGCACACTTCCCTTCCCCAGGCCAATTAGCTGCATTCCCGCACGCAGGAGAAGGAGTCCCAGGCCGTTAGAGACGAAGCTGGGAACCGAAGGCGCTCCCACGGTTCCTTGAATCCCAGACACTACACACCACCTGCAAGGCCATAGATAAGCAAGTGTTACAGAAGCAAAGAAGGAATGCAGCGGTACTGTGTACACAGGGCGAACAAGCAGCCCACCCCCTATCCTTTTGGCAGCATAGCTGACAATGCTCCAGTTAGGTGCATTAAGCACTTAAGCCATGCAGCCCAGTCATGTTTAGTGAGAATCAAGTTCCACTGTGTTTTTCAAATATCACTTGGCTATTTAAAATATCGCTTGGCTATTTACTTTACAGAAAGCCACAGTCTGCATTATACCATAAACATTAAAAACTCCAAAAAACCCCCACCACCTGACTGTGCTCACTTTCTAAAAACACTTGGTGGGTGCCATGAAAGTGCTGGCAGGTGCCATGGTACCCATGAGCACCATGTTAGGGACCCCTGGTTTATAGTATCATATTTGCAAACCAGATTTAATCTACTGTGTGAGTCCCTTCGCATTTTTCTTTTGGTAGATTACATAAACTAATACCAAAATTGCCTATTTCTTTTGTCTTTAAAATATGTATATATTTGATAATATTTTTCTGCCAAGTTGGGTTCAGACTAAATTTTTTGCTATCAGAAGGGGATGAGCAATTTCCCCCCCTTTCCCTTCTGGCTCTATATTGTTTCTCATGGTTCTCTATCTGACACAGGCAGTATTTCTTGGAGATCAGTGGGCTTCAGTGGGAGATCATAGGCAGAAAAATTTGGTTCTACTGACTGAAAATTTAGTCTGGATCCCTCCCTTTGTCTAAATAGTGTAGACCAGGAGTCCCCAGTATGGTGCCTGTGGGCACCATGATGCCTGCCAACACCTTTTCTGGTGCCCACCAAGTGTTTTTAGCAAGTGAGTATGACCAGGAGCTGCGGTGGCTCAAGTGGTTAAGATGCTGAACTGCGGGCTGTGGAAGGTCAGTAGTTCAGCAGTTCGAGACCCGGGTGCCGCATGACGGAGTAAGCTCCCATCTCTGGCCCCAGCTCCTGCCAACCTAGCAGTTCGAAAGCAAGAAATTGCAAGTAGATAAATAGGTACCACTTCGGTGGGAAGGTAACAGTGTTCCGTGCGCCTTGGTGTTTAGTCATGCCAGCCACATGACCATGGAAACGTCTTCGGACAGCGCTGGCTCTTCGGCTTTGAAACGGAGATGAGCACTGCAACCCTAGAGTCGGATTCGACTGGCTTTCGAGCAAGGGAACCTTTTTATGACCAGGTAGGGCTTTTGCCCAGCAAGACGTCTACTCAACACATTGATTTAGGGTTGCCATCAATGCTCCCCCTATGCTGTGGAGTTTTGTGAGCAAAAATTCTACTTTGTGAGCTACTGGCATTAAAGTTGTCAGTGAGCGATTTGGCTACTGCATAAATTAGTTTACTCTGGAGCCATCCTTCCTGAGCGAAGACAAAAATTCAGCTTAGAGGGAACGCTGGTTGCCATCCCCCCAATGGGGGTTGGGGTACCCCCACTTTTGGGGGGCCGAATCCACCGATGGCCAGGTGGCCAAAGGGAAACCCCGCCCCTGAAGAGTCCCGTCGCACCTGATGTGCCCAGAGGTGATGTCATTGTGCTGGGCATGTCTCATGGGGGACGCGCTAGCATTTGGGTTTTTTTGCCCAGATACTAGAGCATCCCCTGCGCAACATGCCTGGTGCGATGACATCACTTCAGGATGACATCATCATGGCATGCACTTGAAACACATGTGCCAGGAGCACCCCCGCTGGCAGCTAGGTAAGACCTGGCAACCCTAAACTTGTAAATTCAAATATCACAACAAACTGAAATTATTACCGTACATACTATGTTTAACAATTAAATACAAATCTTAGTTCGAAATCCCAGTTTGGTGGCAACCAAAAAACCCTGAAGTTTGTCAGAATGCATTTGGATGTCACAACTAACAGGGATTTGATTGAGCCACCATTTATTTTTCTGTCTGAATGTAGCCACAATTGAATTAGTTTTAGTTATTCCTATATTGAGGATGATATGGTGATACTGAGTGTGTGGCTACCTGTTGATCTCCTGTCTAAGATTAGAATTAAACCAGGGGCTTCTAGCTTTTTGAAATTTTGTACTGTAAGGCAACTTGAGACTTACTTATGTTCTTTTATGCCACAAATGAAGCACTTTGAGGGCTAAGAGGTTAGTAACATTGTTTTAGGCTCTAACTGAAGAGAACAAATGCTTAGTTGTATGCAATCATTATTTAAATTCCAGCTTAGATGACCCCCTCCACCTTGCATATTTTTGATGACTATTTCAGTAAAAAATTATATCTTATTTCGCAGATGAAGTCTAAAGATTTTGGCCCAGAGGAAGAAGAGGAGGAAGATGCAGAGCTTGCACTATGGTCTTCTGAAATCAAAGTTATTGATCTTGTGAAAGACACTAAAATGGGCTTAGGCTTCAGCATATTGGACTATCAGGTATGCTGTGTACATCCATTATGATCAAGTATCATTGATCCAAATTTTATTTGCATTATGCTTCTTAAAACTTCATAAATATTTGGATTAATATTTATATACTAGCAAGAAGTATAATAGATCAAGTTCTCATGATCTTTTAGCTGCATTAGGACCACCATGGAAAAAGAAAGGTGTGTCCGTGATGGGCACAATACAGCTTTTTGGCATGTGCTCATTTTCAGCTCATCCCCCCGCCCAATTTGAAAACTTTTGGTATTTAAAAGCCTTGAATTAAACCAGTTTGCCATGATGTCCAAATGCAGGATCCTTGACATTTGTCTTCCCTCGCACACACACCTTAAAGACAATAGTTGGTGTGCACTTGTGTGACTCTAAATGCTTCAACATGGATCCTTAGAGAACAAATTCTAAGCTGGTCTAGTCAGTGGGACTTAGTCCTAAGAAAGTATTTTTAGGATTGCACCCTTAGTAGTTTTTCTTACAAGCTTTGTGCTGGGAGTTCCAGATCTTACAACATAGCAAGTAATATCCTTTCCAGAAACCAGTAATATGCAGATCTGCTTTTATATTCTTGTATGATCAGAATTAATGGAGGCCTTAATAACACGGTTTTTATTTACTTACAAATGCAAATGCATTACCGTGATTGGGATGCAGCTAAATTTAAATTATTTGAAATGGGCTATAAGCCATTTAATTTTAGATCTTCCATCACTTTAAGATATTGGTTTGTAAAGTGCTGTGTGTTCTTGCTGATCTACTGAGCTTTTTATGGTGCATAGATATTAATGAGATATATTCATTCACAGTAACTGTTTTGACAGGCCATTTGGAAAAAAATGTCTCAAATTAATATACGTGCCCAGAATAGCAACTTCTGTGTCAGACCTAGATGACCAGTGGAAAACTATGTTACTGTCCTGTCCCCTATGCTATAATTGTCCTACACTTCTTCTGTTTCTGATGACTAGGGCAATTGGTAATTGCTTCTCCAATCCACCTGTCCAAACATTCCCGGTCCCCTCTGCCCATTTCTTTTGTGTGCAAGGTGGCTTATCTTACTGATTTATCTTGTAGCATGCCCATTCTTTTTGCCATTCGGTCATATGTTATGCAAATATATCTTCATCCCAACATATCTGTCTTCTCCATTTCTGTTAGTTTTGGAACTATTTCTCCTGTGAGGTTAACCAAGCTAGTTCTGTTGGACAGTTAGAAAATGGATCCTGTTATTTGTTTCTGCAGTGTCCCAGTAACATGTAAAATAGGATTGCCTGGAGTTCTCCCCGAACTCTACAAGAACTCCTGGAGTCCTCTCCTCCAGCTGGGACCTGGAGTTCTCCCAGAATCACAACTGATCTCCAGGCTACAGAGTTCAGTTCCCCTGGAGGAAATGGCAACTTCAGAGGGTAGGCTCTGTGCAATCATATCCCCACTGAGCTCATTCTTCCTCCCTGAATTCTGCCTTCCCCATGTTTTGCTCTCAAATCTCCAGGAATTTTCTAAACTGGAGCTGGCAACCATAGCGTAAAGTAAGATACAAAAGTAGCCTGGTACAGATTAGCTTTCTTCTCTCAAAACTGTAGTACGTATGCAGTCAAGGACAGCTGTGGGCTTGCTTGTATGTTGGGAATAAATGCTGTGTGAACTGGTCCTTGCTATCTGGCTACACTAGGATAGCGTGAGGACGACTATAGTGAAACTGCCAAAATGCACAATCCAGGCCACATGTTTTGCTTCAAAAGCTTACTGGAAAAAATATATGTTCTTTCCAGCAGCATTTGCAATATATCATTATATATTAAAGTGAGTAAATGGCATCCTTTGTGACATTTGTATGGCCGATAACTTAATTTAAAAGTTTTATACTGTGTGAGATAATTAATGAGCTCTAATATCTCTTTGCTGTAATTACATAATAAATCACACACACTAAAACTCAGTTTTGGAAAGCAGGACAGAGGTTTATTACTACCAGTACAAAGGCCATATCTGAGGTTTTCTGTATTTCTGGAATTCTCACTCATTCCTCACTTGTCTATCTAGTCAAGTATTCTGTTTTTAATAATGAGCAATACCAGATGCTTTTAGAAAGTGAAGGAAATCCCAGAATGGGTGGTTAGGGAATAATTTGCCTTGAGGCAGTTTTATAGGGGTGACAAAAAATGTACAAATATGTGCATCTGGCACAAATTGAAATTTGTTTTGGTTTAGAATGTCATTGTAGCTTTTGCTGTAATTTCTAAGGGCTTGTAGAGACTTGTGTTCTCTCTCTGGAGGAGGAGGAGCGGAGGAGGAGATTGCATTTATACCCCACCCTTCACTACCCAGAGGAGTCTCAGAGCGGCTTACAAACTCCTTTCCCTTCCCCTCCCCACAGCAGACACCCTGTGAGGTAGGTGGGGCTGAGAGAGCTCTGACAGAAACTGCTCTTTTTCAAGAACAGCTGTTATCAGAACTATGGCTTGCCCAAGGTCATCCAGCCAGGTGGGAGGAGTGGGGAATCAAACCCGGTTCTCCCAGATTAGAATCCGCGCACTTAACCACTACACCAAACTGGCTCTGCATTTAACCATTTGTCAGAGGTTTCTTTCTATAGATGTATAGGACTAATAGGATATGGGATGACTTGAGATGCTGTGTTAACAGCATACAACACAAGCTTGTGCCTTCTTCCTTGCCCATGTCTGATAGTTAAATGCAGGATGGCATTAAATTTAATATGCTGGCCAAATACTAGGCAGAGTAATATATTCAACTTCCCTTATTTTTTCCTACCATTCTCTTTGAACAAGTTTCCCACCTCCTAACTAACTTTTATGTAGTGTTGCTGGCACATTCATAGATGACTTCATTGCACTTGATCATGAGACTAAAATTGTTCCTCATATGAACTCCATAAAGGGCTTTGGTCAGAAGTATCTGCCAGCAGTCTGCAAATATTTTGCATGTTAGTGATATTTGTTTTTTTGGGGGAAGAATCTAGCATGCTTACATACATTTCCCCAAATGGTTTATTTATTAATTTTCCCCCAAAAGATAACGTCAAAGAAGAGATTTTGGAAAGAAAATGTGATCCAGACTAGAATTCCAAACTTCTGTCAAGAATAAAGTGATAGAACTGCAAAGATAAATGAGCTTGAGATGCTTTTATATGAAAGACAATCTGAATGGAGTATACAGTATAAACTGGCATATTCTTATTATGTTTGCAGTGCCAGTGTTCATTCAGTTTCTTGCTTGAAATTCTAGTGATTTATTTTCTTTAGCCTACAATTTTAACCACTTTGCTGCTGTCTTTATTCCATTTGTATTCATTTAGATATAAGAGAGAGAGAGAGCGCGCGCACATGGTCTGTAATGTATAGAAATTTTAGCAGTATGGAAAATTCACTTAGCCAGGGGTCTTGTTGTAGAAAAAGAGCTGCCGGAGCTCATTAGCATAACTCATTAGCATAACTTATTTGCATATGCCACTCCCCCTGACATCACCGGAAGTGACAGAAGGCCACACCCCCTGACATCACCGGAAGTGTGTCAGAAGGCCCGGCTACTTACCCTCCTGCTTCATCCTCATTCCCAAACGGAATGAGGATCGAAGCAGAGGGCGGGGTAAAGAAGGGGGCGGGGCTTCACCACGTGACCGCCCCGCCCCCTAGAGGTTCTCTTCCGGAGCTCCGTACCTGAGAGCTCCCCCCCGACTAGAGCCCTGCACTTAGCTATACCGTTAATCGTATAGCTATATATCTAAACGTGCAGTACGGGAGGTACTGGAGAGCCAGTTTGGTGTAGTGGTTAAGTGCGCGGACTCTAACCTGGGAGAACCGGGTTTGATTCCCCACTCCTCCACTTGCACCTGGCTGGATGACCTTGGGCAAGCCGTAGCTCTGATAAGAGCTGTTCTTGAAAAAAGAGCAGTCTCTGTCAGAGTTCTCTCAGCCCCACCCACCTCACAGGGTGTCTGTTGTGGGGAGGGGAAGGGAAAGGAGTTTGTAAGCCGCTCTGAGACACCTTTGGGTAGTGAAGGGCGGGGTATAAATCCAATCTCTTCTTCTTCTCTCTATCGTTAATAACATGTGGAATGTTATGGGAGAACATGTTATTATTTATATCACTGGACAAAACTATGGGGTGCAGGCTGGTATTAAAGATCCAGCACATTTGGGTTTATTTGATTTGGTAGCCGATAGTTATGGCTTTAATTTGTATTATTTTGAATATAGATCATACTCTGTTAACAATTGATATTCTAGTGTCTGGTACAAATGTAGGGTTTTTGTTCTCTAATTATGATGAAGAGATTGGGGGATATCTGCACAATTGCACTCTTCCCAAATGATGACCTAAACCCTGGTTAAAGGGTATCAGGTGCTTAGGTCTTTACCACAAGTAGTGCTAGATGCAGCAGAGTTTTGAAGCTTATTTGCAAGCCACATTTAACAGGGAACCTCATTAGCATAGTAATCATAGTTAGGATTGATACAGTTGTAACTCTAAGGCATACTTATCACAGGGGAGGGACTATGTGATCTTGCAACACATTCCAGATCTCTTGACTGTAACTGGAGATTTGGAGAACTTAGCTGTCAGCACCATATTTAACCATATTTCCTCCTATCATATTTGTTGCAGCGTATTCCGAATGATTTGTTTGAGTAATTCTAATTCAGAATTATTTATTGTAGACTGTTGGGATATGGATTCTGAAAGTCACTGGTTTGGCATCTGTGATTGAAAAAACAGGGTTGCACTTACCTGTAACCATAGTTCATTGAGTGGCCTTCTGTGCAGGCACACATGGGACAGCATGATTGCAGGTCAGCTGCGGAGAAGAGCTTCCAAACTTTTCTGAAGAAGATTCTAGGCTCTGGAGTGCATACTTATCACAGGCAGCGCAAGTACTCCTTCCCTCAGTTCTCTTTGCCACTGTGAGGAGGCCCAAGCATGATTGGCAGCCTACAGCAGGGAAAGGAGGGAGGGATGTGTGCCTGCACAGA